TGATATAAACAGTTTCTATCAGCACAGAAATTTTAAGAAAGAACAGAGATGATTTGCCAAACAGTTGTGGTAAAAACCAGGAACGATGACACTTGCCTGTAATCCCAGCACTTGGGAGGCTGAGGCAGAAGGATCATTGCAAGTTGATCATCCCAGCCTAGGATACAACGTGAGTTAAAGACCAGGTCAAACTACATAGTAAGACCCTGTCTCAAAAAAAGTGATGAAAAGAAAAGTTGAAAATGCCTCTAAGTATAAAAAGAATTTCAAAGAACATAGACATTACTTAAACTTTATAGAAACAGGATTTAGCATAGCAGTCAGACTTTGAGGGTTTTAAAATCTGACCAGGAATTACACAAGTGGTGAATTTTAAGAATCATTATTATTGTAACAAATCTTTAGTGTGTATCTGTAATATGTGTTTTGAAATGTGACCATACAAAATGGGAGAAACAAAGTGATACAAGACATAATCCTTTTAGTCAGGATCTCACGATCTAATAAAAAGCATAAATCAATAGGAAAACAGAAATCTGTGCCTAAAAATTTGGATGCTAAGTAAGTGGTTCTGGCATTGCTACACACAGTTAAGTGTTAGAGTTAGGTGACCAAGAAAGAATGTGTGAATGAAGTAGAATTTAAAACAGACTTGGATAAGCTGGTCCTGGATTACAGAAAGTACAACCAAATATTTTATTACCATTAATAAAATGAATACAATACACATTTTCATTGAGTTAGACTAAGGGCAAAAACAGTTTGAATTGTAAGGTTATACTTGGAAAAGAATAGAGTATCATTTTTCTCAAACCTAACAGCTGCTTTCCAAACTATGAAGCCTTTTTAAAGACTACATAGTGATGAAGGAGCGTGCCTAGGTAAACTGTGCCTGGCTGGGGTAATACTGTGGCCGTCAGGTTTAAGAAGTAAAGAAGCTTTGAAATACTGCATGAGCAGAGTACGCATTAGAACCTGTACTCAGGTGATGAATATTACACTCTATCAGTACTCTGGTGTTCTAATCTATTAAAAGAGAGGGGAACTCACACAGCAATGAGGTTAGCAGAGGAGCTATTCAGGCATAAAATGATGAGGATGAAAGGGAAAAGTGGAAGCAGAAACAGTGAAGCAGCGATGGGCCCATTGTTCAAATTGTTAGTTTGAAAATTATTGGTTTAGAGGAAAAATTATTGATTTCAGTTTTAAGTAGGCTAATTTTGCGTAACACTGAGGCAGAACTGAAGTTCAGCATAGAGGTAAGCATGTAGGGTTGGCGATTTCCAGGGTGCCTACAGTACTGACACATTCAAGTGCAATCAGTTGCCTTAATACTGAACAGGGCTTTATGATTCACTTCCTCATTTGGAACCATATTGGGAATTCAAGCTGAAAGAGTAAAAAGAACTGAGTTATCATATAATTAAAAAATCTAAATCATTCCAGTTATAAAACTAACAAGTTAAATTTAATTTCTATTTTCCCCATTGTAGTACAAAAAAGTTTGGGGTAATTTTATATTCATTTGAGTGACATAAGTCAACCCAATGAGCAGCTGAGTCCTTCTGCTAGTGTATTATTTGCTGTGCTGTCTCAGATACCTCCCACAGTATTGCTGCTTCGTTTGGTGCAGAACAACAGCAGAATCATTTGCTTATATACTGTTCCTACCTTGCAAAAATGAAACAGGCCTAAATTCTGTTTCTCTCTTCCTACCTACTAACTGCCAAAAACTATTCAAGGGGGAAAAGGACATAAATAGTAGGAGTTCTTCCAATACCTAATATCTGTATCCAAATGACCAAAAACTTGATGTGATAATTGGCAAAAGATGAACACAAAGCCAATAAATGGAAAGATCAATAAACAATATGGCAACATCCATTCCACAGAATATGTTTATTGCACCATATTGAATTAATAGAAATGCCTTTGGTAAAATGCAAAACTATTTATGAAACAATAGAAAATCTGCTCTTAAGTAGAAAAAAAGGACTGCACATGACTTCAGTGAAAAAAGAACCAGATGTTATACATACTTAAAACACACACATGCATGCACGCACGCACACACACAATCCCATATGCAGCTATCCATGAAATATTCAACATACACACAAGTTTAGGGCTTACTGGCTAGATTCCTTTCCTCTCTCTCACCTTCAGGCTAATCTTGCACATGTCAGCATTTCTTTGGAATCAGACCATGTTGCTAATGTCAAGATAAGAGAGCCAGTTGAAGATTGGTTCCAGTTGAATTTTGTATGAGGACTTTGAAATGTCCTCGGCCATAATGGAAGAGGGAGCAAACAGTCCCTGCAAGTCAAAGATGCAGGCAGCATTTGCTGTGTGCTGGACCAAACGATGGTTGGCCTCTGGAAATAAAATTAAGGAGTGAGTGATGCATGCACAATAAGTAGTGTTATTTAAATAATCTAGATCCTTATATTGAAAACAAAATGTTAAACATGAGACTATTGATTAAATTCTTACCTTTCAAAGTATCTATATTGTGTCAGTTACAAAATCAAACTGTTTGATTTGATTCTTGTATTTAATCTGAACCATTTTAAATTATAGTCTGGTATATCTATAGTACCAGCCATGTATTTACTAATTTCATTTTTTGTTGTGGTTGGTTTTTTTTATAACTGATTTTAGGTCTCTCTCTTGCGTAGCATTTTTGTTACTTTTGCTTTTTAAATGTTGCTCTTAATCTTTTAACCCTTATTTTTCTCAAATAATTAGAAACATAATATTCTCAAATTCACTAACCACTATTAAGCAATAAACGTAAATTATGTTACAAATACAAACGTTCAACTTTTACAGAGTAAACTCTTTTTCTTTTTGAATTTAGCAATATTAGAAATATCTATTCCTTTGGGAGAGCTTCCTTTTTTGTTATTTACAATTAAACAGAAATAATTTATGTACTAAAAGAGAAAATTAAATGAAGGGGCTTCAGAATCCCTTTATTTTCTATGAAGTATAGTCCTAAGTGTGCTCCGCACTGTTTCTAGGCATCTACCTGAAAGTAACAGGTCGATGTCTCCCAGGAGCCCTCGGGTTGCTGGATTCTGTGGGTCCAAAGGCTCCAGAGGCTGACAGCAGTGGGTTTTGCACAAGACCCATTGTTAAGCCCCTGCAATCAATTTAGATAGCTGCAGAGGCAGGGAACAAGTCCTAGACGCTACTTCTATCTTATCCATGGCATAGATGTATCAGTAACAACCTATTTTCATTAAAACACTAACACACACGCTCTCCCAAATATTTTATAAAATATAAGTGACATTCTTTCCATATTGGAGGCTATGAGTCAGTCATTTAGGTATTTGGGATTCATTAATTAATAAGATGGGAAAACTCTGATGTCCATAAAGTATTACTTTAAAAATGATATAAGTTTAGAATTGTATATGGGCATGTACACACATATGAATAGATCCAGCTACAGACACAGCACATATATATAAAAAAATGTCAATGCGTGTACACGAATTAATGCAGCTGGTGTTAATAGAGTATCAGTGACATCAGTACATTGACTCTGTGAAAAGGCATCTCATTTGAGAATAAGAATCATGGTTTTATTTATTTAATCCCTTTTCCATAACTGGAAAAATACATGCTATGATAAAACAAAGACTTTTTGGGACCTAGGTAGGAGATATACCTGAAGCTTTCCCATAACTTATTTCAAAACAAAACAATAATTGTGTTTTCTCTGAAGAAATAGATTCCTCACAAGATGATTAATGAAAGCAAAAGTAGATGGAGAGGGAAGAAAGGTGTATAAATCCATACACCGGATTCCATGAGTGGACTTGATATACACATGGATCCCATCATCAGTCCTTGATAGATAGTGTTGTACCTGATTGTATCAGTCAGTGCTTACTAGAGAAACACATTTACCGCAAGCTTCACAAATATATACAAATTTACAAGATTGGCTTACAATGGCCACCTGAAAAATCAAGCGTAGAAAAGTATGTGTGCTCTGTGTGTGTTCTGTGTGTGCTGGAGATGCAAAGGACCCAGTTGAAGGCCTGGAGCTCACTGCAGTGTCCCCTTGAGTACATATCATGAGGCTGAGGAGTCTGCAAAAGAAGCCAAAAAACGATATCCAAGGTGAGGAGGGTGAAGACAACATCTCCCCTGAAGATGCAAGTGAGCCTCTTGTTACCCTTTGTTGCGTTCAGGCAGCAAACCTGCTGGTGGCTGTCATCTAGCGTGGGTTTTTTGTCTTCAGCTACACTAGAACTATGCTGATCCAGTTTGGATGGGTGTTTCTTACTCAAGTTGACATGATCAGTTAACTATCACATTGATGATGTATTGAGTCATCACTTAATCACCAGGGGACTATCTGAATTTCTCTCCCTACTCAGTAAGAAAAGTTTGCTTACTTGAAATAAGATAAGCAGACACATTTTCCTTCAGAATTGTCTTTGTTACCAAAAACACAAAGATTATAAGAAAGACACTGATGGAAGAAATAACTAAAAAAACTATATGAGTTGAAAACTACCAGTCATGACTGCTGCCGTTAAAAACCTTAAACTATAAAACTATAAGGATTCTTCTCTTTTTGCCTTTCCTCTTTGCCATCCATTTCAAAATATCTTTCTTTTATACTTACTCAAATATTTTCCCTTAAAAATAATGTATGAGAATGAATTTCTCTATCTTTTTAAACCTATGCACACTAGAAAGGAGAGTGTGAAATACTGCATATGGACAGTGGGGGACAAAGAAAGTTATGATTGCCTAAAAAAACAGAGATAAAGCCAAAGACTGGCATTTGAAAAGACCCAGAAAGAACATCTGATAGCTGAGTTTGACTGTTTCTGGCCATTGTGTGGTGTATGTGCTGCCCTAAGTTACAAAATATGGTGGCTTTCAGTGAATGCTTAAGCTTGAAGTTCAAAGTTTTAAAAGTGAGATAGATTAACAATGTACATACATCAGGATGGGAAGTCTAGGTAGACATCACTTGCCTGTCCACTTAGCAAGGAAGACACATAGACTTCCAGAAGTCCAAGGATATATTGAAGTCTTGGATATTCTTCCCAAGTCATCAACTGAGTCCTGAGCCGGTATTTAACTCCCATACTAAGGACGAGATAAGAGAAAAACAAAGCTGGTGGAACTGTGGAACTGAATGGAGAAATGAGAGTGTGGATTAAAATGTGGACCAAATCAGAAACTGGAACCAGTGACAAGTTCAGCTAGGATTTGAAATAGAGACGCTCTTGTGGAAAAGAAAGAAAGTATCTTCAGAGCAAGCATACTGCAGAAAGCTTACCTGTGACTCAAGGTCTTAGAGCAGGTTTGTCACAAATACGACTAGTGGCTCAGGATTGAACCTAAGAAAACAAAACAAAAACAGCATTCAAGGTATGTCAGCACAAAAGAATTCAGAAACAAATACTACCATTTTTCAGGTTTCTTTTATATAACTGGTACTATATGTCAAATGCCTTGCATACTTTTTTTAAATGCTTCCAAACCCTCTTTGATTATTCACTATTGATTCTAGTATGTTGATGAAGAATTAAATAAAAAAAAGAGTTGGTTTAAACTCTTAAGTTTATAGATAGTCTAAGAATGAAGGTAGGGTTGGGTAGAGATGTCTGTTGGGTTGTGATGGGCTGACTTGTTGGGAACATTATCATCACTGCCTACAACATGTAACAGTCATAAGGTATATGCATATCCATTTAAGATTATACACGAAAGCCCTCTTATGTGCCAGGAAATATCTAACTATTGGGAATATATTCATGAACTCATCACTACTATGTGCTCTTAAGATTTACCAGTTGACAAAAAATCCAAGTCCCAAATAGATATTCTAAATCAATCATACAAATATCAAATACAATGTAAAAAGTTTAAAAATGAGAATTTAAGTAAAGACATTTGAGAAAATTTTTACTTTTAGAAGAGTTACAGTCTTTAAATTGCCACCATGGGAAGCTGACACAGAGGACAACACATGAAGCGCCTGACAACGTAACAGCTTCTGATCACAGTGTGTTAATGTCTCACTCTACATATGCAACTGGATTTTGTAAAATAATGTCCTGGCTCCTTAATGTGTAAAGGAGTATGAATTGGTGTACTCTGTAATATGTAGTGAAAAGTTCCATAACTGATAAGGAACTGAGCCAGAGAAGCTGTCCTATAGGATAATTTCAGCAAATAAACTTAGTGAGAGATAGTGCCAGGAAACACTGTAGGTTGCAGTGGAGCAAGCAAAGGAAACACCCAGTCTGAAGAATTACAAGGAGAAAAGAAAAGCTGAGAAGATGGAAAGACGGTGATCCATGAGGACCAGAATGGGTACAATATCACCTTCTAAAAACACAGCAAAACAAACTGAAAATGTAGGGGATGAAAGACGTGAAAAGCGAGCCAGGATCAAATATTGGAAGATACATCAGAAAAGTTCCTTCCCTAATGATTTACTGGAATGAAATTATTATTTCTACAATTATACAAGCAGACTTAGTACTCACCATTCAATTTCTTGTCATTGGTTTTAAAGATACTGGTTGTTAAGTGTTTCTCAGAGTCAACCAGCATTGGCCTTTATGACTTTCATAACTATTAACTCACCATTCCTTCAACTGTGTCCGCATTTCTACCCCAGCTCCCGTTTTATACTCTAGAGAAATAAACACTAATATAGAGTCTGTGTAAGGCAAGAAAAAAGGAATTTGTTATAGAATAGTCCTAGATTTAAATACCAATTTTTAAAATGAGCATTTTAGGGCCTCAGCTATTATTATTAAATATTAATATAATCATAATTATGGCTCCTTCTGATTGTCAATTTTCTAAAATATTGAACTGTTAAATATAGGAGCAAATGACTTTCTTTAAATAATTAAAGGAAAACACTAATATATAAGGAGTGTATATATTTAAAAATCAAAATATCCTTTTAAAATGATTGATCTGGAAAAGGGAGAGCCTGGGAGTGTTCGTAAATGTGTGTTAATTGTAGTGGTAGTTAAGTATTTTTTATATTTTGAAAAAATTTAATATTACTATTTTATAAAGAGCAGTTTTGTGTAGAAATGATATAAAATTAAAACAATAGCTCATTGTTAAGGTTCCACTCTAAGAATTCCAGGCATAATTGAGTTACATTAACTCACCAAAATAGGACCCAGTGGTGACATCCTGATTATCATTCTCAATTAACACTGCTACATTTTTTAATGCCTATGTTTAATGTCAAAGCATTAAGAGGCTTCCAAGATAGGAAATCTATTAGTTCTTCAAAAATATATTCCAAACCAGAGAGACTAAAAGCAGAATGAAACCATATGTCATTTCAACCAAGGTGATAATTTCAGCAATATGAATTAATCAAGTTTCTCAAGGGAAAGGTATAATTTAAAAAATAGTAGAGGAACTCTATGTTAAACACTAGACTGAAGCAGCTTAAGACATAAAACAACAAATCTGAAATGAATTGAGCAATATTGTACATGAGAGAGAAAGAGAATATTTCTGTATTCCTAACCATCAAAGGAGTCTATTCAAATCCAATACTGAACTTTGCATTCTTTTGTTAACACTGGTGACCCCCACATGGCCAGCAGTGTGCTCTCAGTATGTGGTTCCTAAATGAAGAGACGGAAGGAAGGAAAAAAGAGACAGAAAGGAAAGAGAGAAGGGAAGAAGAGAGAGAGAAGGGAGAGATACACAAAGCACAAACTTTCAGATTATACTGGGAAAAAGACTGGGAGAATGAGCAAGCTCTGGGTCCTAGTCCTGAATTTGCCATGACATAACTTTTGATATCCACTTATTACATCTGTATTTCTAGAATAGTGCTTTTCTAAACCTCTCTAAATTCTTCTTCTCTCACCAAAACTCTCACTTTAGCTTTAAAAAATTGGGTCATTAAGTATTCCAGAAGTTGGGACAAAGAAAAGGAAATTTATGGAAAAAGGCCAAAAATTAGTAACGGTAGATGACTTGAAAGATTGTGTTTGTTTTTAAGATTGGAAACATCTGAATAAAATTAGGTGGAAATAATCCCTTAGGGTTTGAATATATTTAAAAATAGAAACAACCAAAATAAAATACAAAGAATACATGATTGGAGAAAATAAAAAGCAAAATTTCCAAATGGAAGAGATTAATATTTAAAAATTGTTTCCTTATACACCAGTCAGCAAACATGCAGTGCATGTTTTCTCGGTGCCAACTACCTGGCTAGCCACTGAGGTTTAAAGATAAATAAGTGAAAGTCTGTTTCCAATTGTATGGCAATGAGCCTGCAATAGTGTTTCAAAAGTTATCCTGAATATTAAACAAAGACACAAAACACAAAGTGATACTATAATAAAGTAATCCTCCCATTGAAATTGATATGAGTTTAAAACATATAAAATATACAATTATATTTTCCTCCAAGATTTATTAGAAAAATTAAGTAGCATAAATACTAATTTGAAATAATGTAAAATGAAATTAGTGAAATGGACAAAAGGATTTTTCTTTGTCTTGATGAAGGCAAAATTTATAGACTCAGTAAAATAAACATCTTTAGTTCAGATGTTTAATAAATATATACTGCAACTTGTTTCCTTCTTAGGCTAAATATTTGTGAAAACAATTTTTGGACAAAGGGACTAAGTCTTTTTTAACATAAAAATAAATTGCTTTGTAAAAGAGATCTATTGATTTAAAACATGTTAGTTAAAAATTCCTACCCATTTTTGTAAAAGCATATTAATGATTTAATAATCTTACTAAAATAATTATTCTAAAATAATTGTGCTGTTATCAAGGAAATATCAAGATTTTCCAAATGATTACTAATTCATTTCATCTGACTGGAAGTGTTTATAATGGCATTTTATCACTTGCTAGGGATTACCTGGTTTATACTGCTCCAAGTATTACTTTATTTAAATTTGTATAGTCTTGCCTATGATTAGGATTTATACATTTAAAGTTTAACTTATAAATGATAAAACCATATAATATTTACTTAATACCATTTATAGATAGCAATTTTAAATAATAAAGGACAATATTTTATTAATTTTTATTACTATTTTAGTTGTTCAAATGATTGAGATACAGTGTGATAATCTATTACATATATACAGTATATGATGAATAAACCAGAAGAATAAATGTTTCCATCTCCCTATTACTGTTTTTGTTTGGTACCTTTAAGCTTCTCTATTCTAGTTATTTGTATAGTATAGCAGGATTTTTTGAACTACAGAATAGTAGAACTATGCTGTAGCACTGTAGAACCTGTATCCAACTGTCTCGGTATGAATTATCCAAACTCCTTCTACTTACCACCGCCACCCTCCAGTACTCTCTGTTACACATTCTAATCAAGCTTTTTGAATATTCACAGAGAGAACACATTGTACTGGGCTTTCTGTGTCCCACTTATTTCTCGTAGCATAATGTTCTTTGTCCATTTTACTACACATAATAAAATATCATTACTTGGTATGACAGAAGAATAATCTATTGTGCATATATACCACATTTGCTTTACTAATTCAGCTGCAGATGAGCATCTATGTTGATTCCATAGCATACCTACTTTGAACAGTGCTACAGTAAACATGGGCATATTGACACCTCTTTTTATGGTGATACCATTTCTTTGGATGTAGTCCCAGAAGTGGAATAGCTGGAACATAGGTGCAGATCTCCTTTTAGATTGTACTATTAGCTATGGTGGCTACACTAGTTCACATTCTCACCACCAGTGCATCAGAGTTTCCTTCTTTTCATATCCAGACCAGAATTTGTTACTTTTTATCTTTTTAATATCAGTTATTCTAATTGGACTGAAATATTTTATTGTTGTTTTAGCTTATATTTCCTTGAGAGCTAATGAAATTAAGCAGTTTTTCATATAGTTGGTGACAATTTTTATTTTTTTGAAAAGTATCATTTTATTGTCTTTCTCCTTTTTCTATTATTTGAGGTTTTTGTTAATTGAAGTATCTAAGGCTCTTATATTCTGGCTATAAATCTATTTTGTGATGCAGAGTTTTTAAGATTATTTTCCTGTGCTCATTTGTTTCATCTTGTTGATTGTTTTCTTCTCTATTTAGAATAGTGTAATTATATTTGTCTATTTTTACTTTTGTTTCCTGTGATTTTGAAGTCTTTTTCAAAACAAAATTCTTATTTTAAAGTTTTTAAGTTTCCTCTATATTTTATTTTAGTAGTTTTGTAGTTTCAGTTATAATTTTTAATCTTTAATCTACTTAGACAAAGAAATAACAGTGAAGTTTCCACTTTGTACATGTGAATACCCAGTTTTTCCTGAACCATTTATCAGAGGCTGTCCTTTTACTAACATGGTTTTAGTGTTGTTTTGTAGACTGTTGCTAGTAGTTTGTGAGGTGATATCTTCTTTCCTGTTAAAATTTGTGTGTACTTTTATGTTAATATCATCCTGGTGAAATTGCTATGGCATTGTAGCATATTTTGAAAACAAATAGTATGACTCTAGCTTTGATCATTTTGCCCAAAGATGCTTTCGCTATTTGGATAGAATTTGCTTATCATTTCAAATAATCTTTTCGTGGAGTCTTGCGGATTATCCATCTATAAAAAATACATCATCTGCAAATAGGAATAGCTTGACTCCTTTTTTCCTGTTGTATTCCTATTACTTGTTTCCCTTGCATATTTACAGTGGCTAAGACGTTCTACACTATGTTAAATAATGAAGAGAATGGACATCCTTGTTTTGCTTCAAGTCTTGCAGGAAAAGTTTTCAAAAGTGCATTATTTAAAAAAATATAGTTCAATAATGAAATATCATATTCTTACATTGAAATATAATCTAAAATATATCAAAATATAAATTATGCAAGATATAAACAGGTAATTAAAATATAAAATGTTTGATGAAAATTGAAAAAATGTAAAAAACAAAATTATTTTATGCTGATGGGACTTCAAGTAGACTTTATAACAAGATATAACAATAATACAAGTAACAGCAATAAACAAAGTCCTTCTAGTACTAAGTACTTTACAAAACACACTGACTCTTACCACATTCTTTTGGAGATTTGACCCTGCTATTATAGGGGATGAGAATTCTGTAACACTTTCCAGTAACAATAGCAACAAAAAAAATTAGAAATTTTCAAAGATTTGCCTGTGCTTGGGAGATAAGGCCACTTATTACTACAATTTGGAGTCCTACTTCCATGAAATGGCATAGGCATGACGCTTATATTAGCTTATTTTTAGTTAAAATAATAATCAATGGAAAAGTTTTTAGGAAATTCTAAAGCATATGAAATTAAATGTTTCTTTTTCTGGCAGGAATTTCCAATACTTTTTACAATCATAGGCATTGTCTTTCTCCAAAACAATGTAATATTCAGGATTTGCTGTGCATATTTGATCTCAGACATTTCTCTTCTGTGAACCCAAAGATTTATAGAATATCTTAAAACTAGATTAACAGTTGATGTACGATAGTCTCATGGAAATGTCAATTTGGAGATCAGATTACTAAAGCAACCTATGGAAAAATAGTCCCCTTGGTGAGATTCCCATTACGCCCTCCCAGGCAGTTCTGCATAAAGACAGCTCCTTTGTTTCAACCATTTACTAGTAATCTTCATATATTTTAGCAGAGTTACACCCACTCAGAAGAAAATACGCAGAAGAAAAATGCTGCCAAGAAATATTTGTGAAAGCAATATACATCATGAGAATATTTGAAGTGCTAGATATTTTTCTAATCTTGGGCATAAAGAGGTTTAAATTGCTAAGGATATTGCTAAGAAAACAATCATAGTATCTCAGGGTAAGTGCCAAATCAGGATGCTGGTGTTCTGGGAGCCTAGAGAAAAACGCTCATGTAAATCCTAGAAAATGTCAGAGAAGGATCAATGGGAAAGAAGAGTTTCACTTGAATGTTGGAAACTGAAATGCAGGTGTATTAAGTTCAATAGGTTCTGACACACATTCCAGGAGGGTTAATAAGTGAGGCAAAGCATGAAAATGTGAAAAGTTAGGGCTTGTTGAAGGAAGGAAAATGTAGTTAAACTCCAGGTAAGGAAGGTAAGGCTTTAAATTTAAAAAGGAAGCAGAAATCAGCTTATGAAGATCCTTGTTCGCTCCATGATCATTATCCAGGATGTACTCAGAACTCTGCAGGGTTTTAGACAGGTCAGTGGTGAAGAGATATGATTGGACAGGTCTTTTAGAGAAGTTATCTGGAAAACGCTGGAGAAGGCAGATTGAGACTAGGATGAGAGTAGGGTTTAACTATTGTCAAATTGTCACCCTATTGCAAATGCCTGAGCCACTGAGCCAAATCCCCGGCTCCCAAGAGACAAAGGCTGAGAACTTGGATATCTGCTAAACAGGAAAAGATAGGGTGGAGAGAGGACATAATTTGAAGCTATATGAAGATATTCTGGAGGTTATGGCAGGATTTAACGACACGTTGTCTGCGGGTATCCAAATTGAAGGGAGGATTGAGAATAACACCTCTGTCATGGCAACTGTCATTAATTCTGATTCTCATTTCTTTCCAAGCCGTGTTTCTAAGCATGTGGTCAGAGGCCTGAATGAGTGTGCTGCATGGTAGACATTTAATTTTTATATCAAGTTGTAGCCTGAGTTCCAGTTTAATCTTATATCATGTTTCCCTATAATTTGAAATGATTCATAGTATCATTAAAGTTTAGTTTTAATAACTGCATTAGCTTGTTTTATGGCTGTCCCACAATCAATTTAGTTTGTTTTATAATTACATTGCTTTCTTGCTGTTCTTACTTCTCAACAAATTTGAAATTCGTACTGTGATAAGTAACTTTTTTGCGTAAATTTTTACATAACTGGTTTTAGATATTTTTAACAATTTGCTTATTAGTTTGTCAGAGGACATAAACATTTCTAAAATCTTAGTGATATTATAAAAGCTTATGAATATTGTTTAGCAGAAACCTTGAAATATCATGGCATTTAATTAACCATGAGATCTTTACCTGATGAGCATAGATCTATCACTGAATTTTATTTTTATTGCATAATACAATTTTTCTAATTTCACCAGTTGTATGTTATATTTTCTTCTAAAAATAAAGTATAAAATCTCATGAATTTATCTTTTAACTTAAAAAATGGAACACTAAGAAAGTATAGAACTTATTCACTGCTTCTATGTTTCATATATTTCTAGTTTCTGCTAAAATTAATATTTCCCATTGTAAAACAATTTAGAAAAATATAATAATATTGATAGGAAAAAAGTTGCTGCCCAACCATTCCAAATGAATCATTTTTAATATATGTGTTCCAAAACAGTAATTGATTATTTTGCTCATATATGTAACCCACGTAGAACAGTACATGGTACATAATTGGTGTTTAATAGATATCTATTAAAATGAATATTCACATTTACTTTCCAATATTTTACATAGGTACTTATGATCGCTAACATTTATTCATCAGTATACTAAACTTCATACCAAGTGCTACATGTAGCATTTCCTTTATCATAATAATTCTAAGAAATATGATCATGATAGCGTCCTATTGACAGATGTAAAAATTTTTAAGACTAATATACCTATAAAATATCACTTAATAGCCACCTTCATCTATTTAGATTACAGTGATTTGGTTTCCTATTTAATTTTCTTTTTTTATTCTTAACTGATAGATAAAAACATAAATAAGTACACATTAACTTGGGACCAAGCAATGTCTGGTATATATATATATATATGTTTAAATCAAATAATCCTCTCCTTTTGTGATCTTTCCTCCTTGTTTGATTTAAAAATATTCCCTCAGGTTTTTTTTTACTTGAAACAGAGACAATAAAAACACTTTCTTTCTGCTTAATCCCCAGAATACTATAGCAAATTTATGTTGCCTGTACTGACCATTCTGCCTGATCTTAATTTCATGAGCCTTTAGAGTAAATCCTGTCCAACACTACTTTACCCTACAGATACTCTTGGTTACAAAAATGTTTTGGAACACCAATAATCTATTTAGCCTGTCTTGAGGTATTTGCAATGCTTAATTGCCTAAAGGTGAGCAAATCTTTTTATTCTTTCTTCTTCATTCTATTCTCAGTGCCCCAAATGTGGAAAGAAATCATGGGAAAAGACGTGAGTTATGAGTCTGTTGCTGTCACACTGAAGGACAGACAGGCATCCTTCCCCCACTGTCTCTGGGCCACACAAACCTACTCTTCAATGTCTTCCTTTTACCCTCGGTTGGTCTGCAAACACTTGTTGCCAAAATTTTCGTAACACTGCCTCTTGACTTAAAAAAAATAATCAGTATATGATCATGCCTACATTTATATTTCTAGCCACCACAGGGGTACATCTTGCATGTTTATCTGTAGAATGTGGCTGTATTCTTGAGAGAATATTGTAGGACTCTTGTTACAAATGACATTGTATATTTCATCCAGATATTAGTCATATTTCTTCCTAGTATACATAGTTTACTACGTTTCAAGGAGCCAGTTTTATTTTTCCACAACAAAGTTGAGTTTATCTTTAAAAAAAAAAACCCTTGGAGCACTTAGTTTACAGAAATTATGTTCTGTCAAAATATTTTATAATGACAGCATGAAATGTTGCCCTGAGGAAAAATATAGCTAAAAGTTGACAGAGAAATAATAACTTGGTGTTATGCCACATTAGAATAATTTTTTATTTCCTGCAGATAATATTTTATGGCTATACTTTTGAAAGAGAACCTGTATTTGCCCACAAAGTAGAATATTCAAATGAGAAATTTAAGGATTCATGATGCATTACTAAATTATGAATTGCACTGCCACCTCCATATATTTCTACTCAGAAGAGCCCCTTTCCACTTTAGACTAAATGAAGTGGTTAATATTTGGGCAAGTACCTAGTTTCTGAAAATAGCCTGCAGATAAAGGATGACATTAGTGATAGATATAATATGCAGTTGACAATTTACATACAGTGCTGGTGTGCAGAATAGCATCGGCTAATTAGCAAGCACCCCTGGCGGCTCTCCGTGTCCTCCTCTCCATCTGTTGCTTCACTTTCAGTTTTAGGCAACTAGAAAATCGAGTATTAGAAATGCTTTAAGGGGTATGAAATTTAATCTTAAAAATGTGTATATGCATATATAAACTCTATGTTATAGAAAATAGATAACAGTAATGATTCAAGTACTGTACCTAGCATTGGTTGAGCTAAATATGCAGGTATTTCAAAGATATTTTCAGGTTTCATCTGATATTTAGCATCGTTTTAGGTCTTTAATTTTGCAAGCTCAAATATGAGCATTGTGCATGCAATATTACAAAAAAAACATAGGAGCAACTAAAAACAAACTGTTCTAGGGAAATTATCTAATAGTTTGACCAAAGAAATTGTGTCTTTTTCTGGAGTAAGCAATAAAATTTTTAGCCATATCCACAGTGTGGTGAACTCAAGAACAAAATGTAGTTTATGGAATATTTATCAACATGCATTTGATAAAACTAGACTTCCTGGGTTCAACTCATTTTTTGCTATTTATTACCATACAAACTTGGTCAATTTTCTTTAGTTGACCTTGTCATAAACTTACTCTATTTCTCAATTTTTATCTTTGTAACATGATCATTGTACAATATCCTTAGGGTTTATACAAGAATTAAATAAGGTTATATACATGCCTACTTTTTACAGTGGCTAACAATAAGTAAATTATATGAGTTTCTTAAAAATAAAAAGGAATATGCACATTATGGTTACCTTATCTTTGTTTAATTTAGGCTTGAATATGTGAAAGATGCCCAAAGATGCATTTACTAATCATAAAATTCTTATTGATTCTTTCAAAAATAATTTTACAATGAATTCAGTCTTCATCTATTCACAAATTTACCACAAATAAATTTAATTCTCCCCTTAAAAGATAAGATACTCATTTCAATACTGGCTATTCCTTTTTGAAAAAACTTCAAAAGACATGCCAATTAATATAAGAACTGTGTTTATTAGTCAGTGTAATAAACTATGTGTATTAGTCAATTAAAAAATTTTTATGAAAGTTAAAGAAGAGGTTATCTTGCGAGTGAATATTTTTCATTGAACAGAAGACCAGAACTAAAACCCTGGAAGTATAGATTAGATAATTAGTCATAGTGTGTTCTTTGCTGATCCCAACACAAATTAACGTGGAACAGAAGAGCGTATAGTGGCCATATTATTCTCTGATTATTCCTTGTTCAAATGTATTTGAAAATCCACATGTATATATGCATATGGCTGATTATATGCATATGACGGATTAGTTAGCTTTTACTATGTTATAAACAACTCCAAAATTTAGTGGCTTAAAGAACCATTTATCAATGTTCATAAGTCTACAGGTTAGCTAAATGGTCCTGCTAGTCTTGGCAAATCTTAGCAGGCTTCAGACATATATCTGTGGTCCACAGGTAGGATGGAAGAGCCTGCTCAGTGGGGATATTCTAGTATACTTCTTATTGTTGGTCATTCAACATGTAGGTGAAAGGACAATTAGACCATCTCTCATCATGCTGCAGGTCAGCCTAAGCTGCAGTCAAGAGTGAGACAAGTAGAAAAGTATTCAAGGTCCCTTGGTGCTTGGCATAAGAAACAGAACACCACTTCTCCAAAATCCTATTGGTCAGAGCAATTTGTAAGTCCAGCCCGTGTTTTAGAAATGAAGGAATAGATGCTGCCTCTTGATAGGAGTAGCAGCAAAGATATATGATCATTTATGAACTCTAGTAGAGCTTCTTTGAGTAATTTAGGAATGTATCCTATCTTTTAATTGAGCTAGCGCCTAATCAAGTAAGCTGTGCCCTATTATTGACAGTCTACCAGTTGCTGACATATTTACTTGTGCCTTGGAGATGATAGCTATATAATATTAACCAGAAGATAAAATAGCAGACATCCAAATTGGCTTCTCAAACTCAAAATATTTTAGTCATGACTCAACCAAACTATTTAATTACTGATTCACAAGATTTACAGTCTAAAGTCTCTTGATTTTAGTAAGCCAAAATTTTCCATTCCCTTAATTTAAATTTGTTGAATGGAAGTAACTATCGAAACAGTAAACAAAGTTGTGTCCATTTAGTGGTACTCATTCTATAACTTCCCAGTAGGGATGGTCTCTCAAACACCAGTATATTAATATATTATAAAGTTCCCATTTTGGTTAGACTCCTCTAATTTTTAGATGAAATGTATATGTAAGAATATACTGGACTCTGCTTATTTTTATGGAAATGTACAAATAATACTTAGCATTTATCTTTTCATTCCAAGTGCCAGAATCGTATTTAAAGTTACAAGATGCCACTTCATTCCTGTTTCTTTGTGAAAGTTTTTTAACTTTACTCTTTATAAAACTAGTAGAAAAATTAGTTGAAAATTTATATAGCACACAGTTTATATGAATATAGATTATATGTATACATAGATGCATAAATGCATATCTGTCTTTGGTATATTATTAATAAGACCTTTACCACCATCTTTCACCCAAACTTGCTCATTTTTCTATATTTTTTCTGTTAATGATGTCCACTTGCTAGAAATTTCCAGCCAAAAACTTAAAAAATGTTCTTTGCCCTCCTTTCATTTATTCTCTGTATGTAAAAAGTAGCCAATTCATAGAGATCCTAATTCTTTGATGTCTCTGAAGGCTGAGTCCACGTCGCTATTCCTTACAGTTCTTGCCTATTAGGCAAAATGTAGGTTACATCACGTATCTATTGCATCCTGAGTAGCTCCCTTTCCCACTGCCTTCATTGTTAGTACAATGAACTCCCTAAACATAATACTGTATATTGCATTCACTTAATGTAACACTTTATGGTTTTCAGAGTAAAAAGCAAATCCATATAAGCCTGCAAAATGATTTTGTGACACAACTCATTCTGAATTCAGTGAGTCAGTTGCTACCATAAAGTCAAAAAGAAAAAAAAGATAAATGCGATCTTTGGTCACGTTCCATAATGAGGTGGTACACTATCTCCAGATGGTAACTAAGATGGTGGCAAAACCAGATTTGCAACCCTCTGCCTAGGTTATCTCACTTTTTGAGGTTGCAGAAAAACTCTCAGAGTACAGTAGCATTCACCCTCCCTCCACACCTGAATACATACACACACAAGAAATGAAGGCGTGCCTCTTCCTTCTAGACCTGAACTGAGTGGCACAGTCTTTAAGGGAAACACATAGTCCTTCAAATGTGTTAGGTACAGAGGCTGGAACAGGAGAGGCACCATAAAAGCCAACGGGGAATAGAGCAAATGCAAAGGTAAAAGGTTGCTTGGGAAGCTGATTCCATCAAAGGCGAAAAAGGTCCTTGTTACACTCTGACTCATGGGTAAGATGGTACCACATTAGCATAAAGTTCTTTTAAGTTTAGTATAGATGAATGCCTGGTAAGTTGATGTGACCTTGGTAGAGTAGTGGGCCTTTGGCTGTCCTAGTACCTGAAGGGAAGATAATAAATGGAATAGAATGTTTGAAGACAACATTGCCCAGCTCAGAGACACCTGGATTGCAGAAGCCTAACAAGGGTCATGCCTGAGGAACCCAGGAGAAGATTCAGCGGGAAGCATTAGTATTAGCAAACAACGATATTCAAAGGATGTCACCACTAGATATACTCTGTGCTTGTCGATTAATTTGTCCCTATTTTTTTACATGTTAGCTGCTCCAGTCACCAACCGTGAGGGAGGACAGAGCTGGCCCAGAGATACCTACTGAAACAAAGTAGGTATCTTTTTCCCCACAAAGATTTTCTTACTCCTGGCAAAGAATCTGGACTTAAGTTGTGGAAAGTAAAAATGGAGGCGAAGACAGTCTTAAGGATCAAGAAAAGATGCTTTTGCAGTTTTTTTAAATGAAACTTTTCCCCCAAAAATGAAAAAAAAAAGTTCTGTAGAATATGTTTTATACACAATATTCTAAGATTCATAAAATCCAATAACATATATTTATAGCATTTTGTTCTTTGAATTAAAGAACTAACCTCTTAGCCTCAGAGACAGTGTATTTGAGCAGCTAATACAAAATGCTCTAGTCCTTCTCTCAGAAGGGAGAATAAAACATCAAGCTCTCTGCGAAGTTTCTTCAGAGAAACAAATAAATGTTTGTGAAACACAATGAACTCCCTGGCAAAGGGAACTAAAGAACCTAAGGAAATACTCTCTAGTAAGCCTTCTGGCAACATTTTAATTATAATGCACTCTCCTCTCCCCAGGCAATGAGACCAATCTATTATGATATGAACAACAATCTATTTAGTATAACACATTAAGAAATTCAAATATCTGGAACAGGTCATATCTCATTTGCTATTGCTGATTAAAACAAATAATGGTGTAAGATGGCTTTCCATCGTGTTTTTATTTTTTAATCATCTATGCTCTTGTGTCCAAGATTGTTTTGGGAATAAAGCTCTAATTCTTGGAAAGCCATAATGTTCAAAATTATATTAATCATATGAAACTCAGTTTGAGAGCTGTTCTTTTGAGTATTTTTATAATGATGATGAGAGTTTTCTCCTGTATCAGCACTTTGTATATTTTGGTGACTGTCTCATAATTTCCAAATGTGTCATCATAGGATACCAAACTATAACTTCTTAAATTGTAGAAAAGTGAAATTCTATTTACTAACTTAGATCATTTCATAGGTATTGGTATGAATTACCTCCAGTCCTTATTTTTCTTGTGGATTATAAAAGTGGCTCTTAAGAGACACTATGCAGTGTGCCTTAGGACAGACATAATGGGATAAATGAGACTAAGGCTGGCCTGTGCTGTGCTGAACTGCAGGACACATTGTCTTTTCTCTGTTTTCACTTCACATCATAGTTGTCAACTTTTTTCTGTGAGTTTAAAGAAAATCTCTCATACTTCTGTTGGTATATCATTAGTTCCACTTTCAAACAAAGCAACACCTTGAAAAGACAGATTATCTATGCATAGAGGAAATGATTTTCCCTGAAGGGCATTTTCTCTTTTGTTACCCAGTATATTTTTAAATGTCTCAGGAGATGAGGCTGGCTGTTCAAG